ACCAGTTGAGCTCATCGCGAAGTTTTGCCACGAGACAGGAGGAAGAGCTTTGACGGTCTTGAGAGTGTGCTGGACATAATTATCGGGAATGTGGATATCGGCGGGACTCTCGTCTTCAGTGACCTTGCCGACACGCTTTTCGGCGGTGGCAAGAGAGGGCATGGGCGAGGGGACGGACGACATGGTGGTCGACGTCGCAGTCGTGAAGATGGAAGCGTTGACGAAAGGCACACAATGTAAGGGGTGGCTATTTAAACTATATCCATCATTTTTTTGGGGATCCTGACGCCGTGCATTCGCGGTGCTCCCCGTCCCGCAGCTTGTCTCCACATCTCGCTCCGCATCCGCCCTATTCTTCTCGCCCTTTAGCAGCCATTTTTCGGTGTCGAGACTGTCTGGGCGTCGCTCACAGCGCTTGCGCGTCGCCCAAGGCGTCCCCAGAAAAATAATTAGCAGCATAAAAACGTCGGTCACAGTCACGTGCAATGTCATCAAGCAAATTTTGGGGAGTCCCAAAATGGCAGGTGCCCTCACCCTCACCAGCCCCCACCTCGGCGCCGTCGCCGCTCTGGGCCGTTCCGGCTTTCACATGCCTTGGCTGCCCAGGCCAACGCCCTCCTCACAGCAACCCCAAAGTCCCTATTCACTCTGGTCTTCTGCTACTCCGGCGCTGACACCTAGAATGTGGCCGCAAATGCACTGATGCGATGGGGATTTACGCAGAGTTACGCAGCTCAAGCATCTCATATGTCCTGGGGAGACTCTACATCCCCAAATGAACAAGAATGCGCAGTTGGAAGCATGAAATCCACGTAGGTCGCACCTCGCACCTACCACATTCGACCCCCTCGTAGATCTTTGGAGATCTTTGGAGATGCTGCCTAACGCAGTTCCTCAAAGCGGTGCCACTGCGCCACCGCCATGGCTTTAAAACAAATCTCCTGATCATGACGCGCATTATACCTATCTACATGTGGATGACGTCCGTGGCTGCGACATTGGAAGCAATCAACGCGTGTTTTCATCTACAGAGACGGCTCATTGTTCACACATACGTGTGACGACTCCAACTATTGGACCCATTCTACGGAGTCGAAGCGCGCTTTTTGCAATGAATCACATCCAATAATAGGATAGCACCTTGGCCACGGGGTCCATATCTGAATACACTTCGTCTGCCCTTTACGGTCGTTTTCCTGTCAATACTAATAGGCTGATACTTTGCAATATACACGTGCAAGGCTTTCATGATCTTCCCAAATTCTCAACCATGCTCGCGCGCATGCCTTCAACGCTGTTGTCATGGGGCACTTTCTCGCCACTTTCACGAGCCTGCTCAAATAGCCACCTTCTTCTCTAATTTTGAGGTATGTCCACGCCTTGTAAGTATAACGATGCAAAGGTATGACCCAACTACCCTCGGCCGCGGCGGCACGACTTCAAATCCCGACTCCAAAGTGTATATCTCGCGTTTCGACCTATCGATTTGAAAACTTGAGGAAAAAAGCTCTGTCCCAAATTATGGACGCTTAGCGCTTATATGTCATCAAGTCTCAAATATTTTGGTTGCCCGGTTTGTCAACTTAGTTTCCGTTTTGAGATAGCGCAGATCACTTATTTTCGCGCATGATTTAGAAGCCCGTAACGACAACGACTGCGATCTAAGCGCCCACCCATTTCACGCAAAACGTGTATTTTCTGGCGACAACACGGTAAACATTTATTCAACGAGATATCGAAAAACATGTATCCTTAGATAGCAAGCAAGCAGATCCAAAGCTGGAGGGGCCTATCTAGTTCTGAGCAAGGAAGTTGTTGGTGTGGAAGACACTGGTACCCCACTGCGCCACCCAGTGGCCATCGCCGAAGTCCTGCGAAAAAGTGATCAGATCCAGAACCAGCCCACCGTATAATAGGTAAACGATCCTACCAATTTGGCAGTGCACTTGTAACTATCTCCATCACAAACGAGCTTGGTGACAGGAACGGGAGCAAGGGATTGGCCATGCTAAAGAAAACAGAATCAGACCTTCGCACAAATAATAGGTCAAAAGGATTACCCCGGAGCTGAAGCCCTCATGGAAAACGTTGGTGCTCCACTGAGCGACCCAGCGACCATCGCCGAAGTCCTACAAAGTAAAGGCTCATTATATGGTAAACAAGAAGGTACTAGATAAATAGACTTGCGAGCTTCGCAGTGCACTTGTAGGTGTCGCCATCACAAGTGAGCTTGGTCACAGGAACGGGAGCGACGGCCATGGCAGCCTAGAAAATTGGAAAGTGAGAATGTTCAACGCACAAAGGAGATAAAAGAAAACTCCCTACCACGGTCTCTTTATGGTCGGGAGCGCCGAAGAGGCCCGTGTGGAACACTGCGATGCCCCACTGCGCGACCCACTTCCCGTCGCCATAGTCCTACCGCCGGGCGGGTCAGTCGCTAAGAATAGGTTTCGAGAGTCATCGACCTACGAGGTTGGCGGTGCACTTGTAAGAGTCGCCATCGCAGACAAGCTTGGTGACGGGGACGGGGGCGAGCGCCTGTTTGAATAGCGACGGTTAATATCTCCCGAATTGGGAGAGACGTGCACGTACAGCGTCGACAGCCGGTTCAGCGGAGCCGAAAGGGAACGCAACAGCGGTCTGCGCAACGGCGAGGAGAGCGAGGAAGCTGGCGGCGAATTTCATCGTTGGATTGGGGTTCGAATTGAGGGATTCAAGAGATAACCCGGGGTGAGTGAGTTGTAAACACGAATTATGCACCTCTTTTATAGCATTCCTATCGTATTTGGTTAATGGTCAATAGAACGAATTTGGGCGTCATCTGGGTGCTGAATGTAATCAGTAGTTACTCCAAAATGATCATTATAAGTAATATACGTGCAAGTTGGGACACCGTGGCGCATGCGCCACAACCCTAGTTTGAACCGCATAAGTACAGTACATTTTACGAAGCGCATGATGGACTAGCAATAATTAACAAGGTCTTAAGTAGTAATACCTTGGTCAGACTTGAAACTGTTGCATGCCACATATGACTGCGACCTTTATGATGTAGATACTGAGATATCAAAGCAGAGCAGACGAATGTTTTTGAATTACTATAGTGCTGCAGATGAGTAGGGGCATCAGGCTTCAGCGGGGATTTCAATTCCCCATTAGTCAAGTTATTTACCAATTTTAGTTATTTCCAACATAGGCGCTACCGCAAATTCAGTAGTGTTCTCATATAGGCAATAAATGCATTATTTCATCACATTTGCCTTCCCGCTAAGGACAATGAGTATATTCAAACTCAAACATTCTGAATTATCCAAATCTTTATTCATAATATCATGAGGGCGACATTCCACATCCACCACCATAGTCTCTTTGGGTATTTAGTTCTGGTCAAGGAAGTTGCTGGTGTGGAAGACATTGGTGTTCCACTGCGCGACCCAGCGACCATCCCCAAAGTTCTGAATAGCATTAGTCAATCAGATTATTCGAAATCATTATAAGAAAGTAATCTTACCAGGTTTGCAGTGCACTTGTAGCTATCACCATCACAGACAAGCTTGGTGACTGGAACAGGGGCGAAGGATTCGCCATTCTAACGAGTAGGTCGAATGAGATCCCATACATACAGTAATAATTTAAACACTTACTCCGGATCTGAGGCCCTGGTGGAAGACGCTGGTGCTCCAGCGAGCGACCCAGCGACCATCACCGAAGCTCTATAGAATAAATTCAATTCCGCGTCGAACATAGAAGACTTATTTCGCGTACCAAGTTAGCAGTGCACTGGTATGTGTCACCATCGCAGACAAGCTTGGTAACAGGGACAGGAGCCATGGCCATGGCAGCCTAGGAGAATTCGATCAAGGTAAGATGAAGACTGGACACTTCATGTCATATAAATATTGTATCGCCGTACCATCGCCTCCTTGTGGTCAGGAGCTCCAAAGAGACCAGTGTGGAACACAGCGGTGCCCCATTGAGCGACCCATCTACCATCGCCAAAGTTCTGAAGGCAGGGTAAGTAAAAATTCGTAGTAGTCCTTCATTAAATAAACACACCAGACTGGCAGTGCACTTGTAAGTGTCGCCGTCGCAAACGAGCTTGGTGACGGGAACAGGAGCAAACACCTAGTATCGAGGATAATGAAAAGATTGGCTTCAGCAATGTCTTTCGATTATTAAGATCAGATAACATACATCCTCAGTCTCGACCGATCCGAAAGGGAATGCCGCAACGAACTGGGCAGCGGCGAGAAGAGCGAAGAAGCTGGTAGTGAATTTCATAATTGTCGGTGAGGAAGGATGAGCTCAAAGGATGAGTGAAGTCTCTCGTCTAATAACACGCCCATTTTATAGGATTTCAGGTATCTATAAAGGGTATCAGTGTTAAATATCTGACCCTGAGGTTCATGCTGAATGACAGAGGGAATCGAAGTTAACTCTTACTTAATCTAGAAAATTATGTCCGACCAATCTAATATGTACACTATCACTAACGAATGTCAGGTATACAGTAAGCGTTACGGAAGGACGCTTCAATTCTTCCTGTCTTCCCAAAAGGACTGCAGGAGTTGATGATGTGCCGGTTATAAAGCCTTCCGCACAGTCACCTCAAGGTTGCCTCAAGGCTCATATACTCATAACACCATGGAGCAAATGAAAGAGAAAACAATTATGCAGTCGGTTGGCTTTCGGACTACTCATTTTCAGGTTTTGAATTCGCACGAAATCCAGTGGCAATGGAGATTGTAATCACAATGGAAAATGCCCGTGGAAACCCCAGCCGATTTCGAACTCGGAGCCTGGCCTGCTCGGATTCTATCATTCGTTGTTCGGTTGATCAGCAGATCAGTTTATGTTTTTAGCGCTGGTCAAGAATTACGCGTATTCACAGTGTTCACCCGTCCGACGCACGCACGTCTCGTCCAGTGACTGGTAGTCGGTGACTGTTATAACAAAATAATTTCTAAAGGTATGTACCAAAAGACGGCTTCAATGGTTAGCTCTCTGTCTGGGAGTCGAACCCAGCTTTCGCGCGACCAGTGGAACTGATGACAGGCGCGTGTACTAACCGATATACTAACAGAGATGAAATTACGCGTACAGCTCATTTTGGGTCTGGAATCAGTCGAACTGCTGCCTGAAATATTCCTCAACTTGAACTTCCAAGCCATAATTATTTGTCTATCATATTCAACGCAACAAGCTTGTATAAGATGAAACCTAAGATACAAAAAGAGGTACATATACTCACTATCTAAAAGTACATGATATTCTACTCATCTCCCCTTTGCCTCGCCTCCACCGCCTCCCTCAACCCCACACGCCCGAAGACCTCATCTGCACCTTCCCCTCTCGCCGCCACAGTCTGCAAAGCCGCCCCCACCATACCGCCCTTCCCGGCTCTGCTCCGTACCGATCTTAGATCTTCCGTGCGCGCGCGCACCGGTGGCTCGAGGGGCTCCGTACGCGATGGGTCAGATGGATGCGGAGGTACGACCCACTCCATCTCGATATCAACGTCGATGATCGCACTGCCGAGCCCGAGGGGGAAGTCGATATCTGTTCGGGTTAACGAGAGCGTTGCTTTCGTAGAAGAGGAAGGCGAAGGCGAGGTGGACGTGGGTGGGGGTTGCGACATGTGGAATGTGGTATGAACCATAGCCAGCCTATGAATACCTATCGTCCACCGCAAGTCAGTTCTGTATTTCGGCAAATGAATGTTACTGTGCATACCTGCCCCACATAGAGCTTCACTCGGACCTCACGCCCGGCGTCCAGGATAACGCCCTCTGATGATTGATGCCAGGTAGCGTAGGCGCATTCGAGTGTTTCTGGAGTCCATCTGTGTCATTGTAACATCGTTCACAGAATTGTCTTCCGAGCGCGATACGCCAACTACATCAGCTTGCTTCTCGATCGCTTCTAAGTCTGTTGTTGAACTTCAGGGGAATCATGTTCAGCGCTTTTGTGGAGATCGTGCTTGAGGCCTTCCCAACGCTTGTCCGATAATGGGGTGAGTGTGTATACGTGAATCTTCTCGCCCTGAAATACATGTCAGTGATTATAATCGCTGTCTGGGAAGTAAATGAAACATTTACATCGATGGTTTTCTCCTTTGATTTATTGACCGCGCCTAGTCGAGCAAAGCTTCTAACCATCTTGTTCTTATCCCATTTCCCATCTTCGAAGATCTGATGTAAATTTTCATTTAGGGTTGTTTCGCTGTTCGGCCTATTCTCTGACCCGGTCGACGCTTGCCCATATTGCCACCAGGATCGCGCGTATACGCTTCCCAGTCCTCCAGAAGATCTACCAGGCCGTCATCGTATCGCGCGAGGGACGCCCAAACCTGACTCGAAGAGCCTTTGTCTGAGGAGCTGCCGGCCCCTCCGGTTGGTGCCTTCGCCATGCTTGTCCTTTCTATAACCTTGTTGGCTGCTTTGACGATGCCCATCCCACAGACGACGTCTCGCGCATGCGAAGTTTCAGCTGCGTCAAGCGCACTTTCGGTCGTGGTCCGTTCGACCACATATGTTTCGGCGCTTCATGTGCGAGCAGCAGTGCCCAATAATATAGGAAGCGTCGCTGGCTGGGGATGCTGACTCCCGGTTTGAGTTTGCCTTCCTTCTCTGACGACTGCTTCATGCGCTGTGCAGTGTGCAGGTCCAGTACGCCCTTGAGCGCGTCTGTGAACGACTTTTCGCGGTTAGGCGTTGGTGAGCGGGGATGAGAGGTGCCTTTTCGATATCCAAGATGCCGTCTGCATCCGAGTTTGGGTGGCTGGTTTCTATGATAGATGGGAGCGGCGTATTCATAGCAGGGACTGGCTCCTCTTCTGCAGGAAGTGCGTTGACAGTACTTTCCATCCGCTTCTTTGCCCATGCTTTCGGAGTGTAGTTGCGCTCGAGTTGAGGGGGCGAGGGGCTGTCTCCCAGAGAGAGAAGGTACGCGCAAGCCATCGTCCCCGAGCGGCCTTTGCCAGCTTTGCAATGGAGCACCGCAACGCGGTCAGGGGAGCCGCTTAGCCAGGCCTGCATTTCCCGTACGGCAAGAGGCATTATTGCAAGAGGTGGTGCGCTATAAGATGTCAATAGCAGTTTGCAAGCTCAGCAATCGCACTACACACTGGTGGTCTGGAAACGGGTATCTGCTGACCCGTCCTTCGAACACATCGGCTTCGTACGAGTTTTCCTTGATGGGACAGAAATTGAACACCCAGTAGTTCTTTCCGTGACGATGCTCCAAGAAACGGATGGCATCCTCTCTACGATTGCGATATAGGCCTCAATGCCTGATGCTGGATAGCCCATGATGATGACCTGGTCGGTTACATATACCAAATCTTGTCCAATCTTCGTTTAGTGAATGCTTCGAGTTTTGTTGCAGTGATCAATTACCTAGCTCAACATTGAGATTTTGGTCCCTGAAACGGGCCTTGTTTCCGGATACAAGGCGTCGTATGTAGTCGGTCATTGGAAGGCGGACGAGAGTGTTGGGGCCAAGTTGCAACGTTGAAGCGAGAATGACATCACAGACTTACATAGGTCCGGGCCGGCAAAATTTGAACGTTTGAACTGGGAATGGACTTTATAGTTACAGAATTTACGATCAATTCATCTTTGTTAGTATATCGGTTAGTACACGCGCCTGTCATAAGTCTATCGCACTCAAATAACGCGCGAAAGCTGGGTTCGACTCCCAGACAGAGAGTGTATCTTTTTTTTTATTGAATTCTTCACAAATTATAATAATGACATGCTTAATGGAAGATGTTGAACCCTGTAGTATGTACGTAGGTCCCAATTGGTAGTAAGATTTAGAATGAGCATGGCGTGATAATTCACGGTTGCGAGGCTGCCCTCCACCTCGAGGTTCGTCATATAGGTTGCCAGACTCATTAATTCGCGTTGTAACGCCACGTGACGGACGCGTCCGAGTTGTTTGCAGTTGTATTTTTATGTCCAAATCTGAACTTTGACATCCCTGTGCCAGCCTTGTTCCCGGCTTCTTCATCACCTCGACGATTTTCATATCTATCTATTCAAATCCCCGCGATACCCTTCAACATAACATAACTCATCACTTATCACTCCTTCTCCCCCTATAGCGGAGGAATATGTCCTCCATCCCAGTGAGTCTACTTGTTCATCATCACCGTTCAACGGCGCAGGCGTTGACCTCGAATCGCGTCCGTTTCCTTATCTGCAGGTGAGGAGGACGACAAGAGTGGTTCGTTCTACTAAAGATAATGAAAATGCCAATGCGCGTCCATCGAGGATCGTGCCTCTCGCGCGAAGTCGGCGTTGGGAGGTGGAGCCACAGCCCCTTCCGTGACCACCCGTGCACTGCATCGACGGCGGCTTCGAAGGCCAAGGCCGTTGTTGCGGATGCTGCAAAGGATGAGAAGGAGACGGGCATCAAGAGGAAGAGGGAAGTTTTAGTGGAGGTCACCGGCTTGGTCACCAACAACAAGGCCAAGGCATCGGGCACTGTCGCCAAGGGCAAAGAGGGGGCGTCATCGTCGACAGACAAGCTGAAAAATGCCACGCCACTGCTACTACTACCGTTGCGAAACCCAGAACCGTGGCCAAGGCCCCTGTTAGGCGCGTCGCTGGCACTGCTGTGACCAGGAGGTTGCCTACCAGAGCCACCAGCGAAAGCACGACAGTCTCGAAGACAGAAACCGAAGCCCCTGTCGAGAGTAAACCCACAGTTGAGCTTATCCATGAGAAGATGGAAATTGATGAGCCGGCGGAGGACGAGGAAGCACATCGCGTCTTTAAGAGGCGTCACACTGACGAGAAGGTTATTGTCCATGCCAAGTTTCTCGACGACTCTCAAGCCGAGGCCGACGGTGTGGCCAAAGAGCTCGAGGCAGTCGAACCTTCTGCGTCCAATGTCCAACTCTGGGACGATTTGGACGCGGAGGATTTCGATGACCCTATCATGGTCAGCGAATACGTCGTCGACGTGTGTGTATACTTGAAGGAGATTGAGGTACGTAAACATGCTGCAGAAGACTCCATTCCTAATATTTTGTGTAGTTGGCTACGCTTCCCAACCCAGACTACATGAAAGACCAGGCTGAAATTACATGGGAACATAGGGGCGTCCTCATCGATTGGCTGCTCCAAGTTCACGCCCGTTTCGGCCTCTTAGCCGAGTCTCTTTTCCTCACTGTGAACATCCTCGACCGCTTCCTCGGCTCGCGCCCCATCTCCATCTCGAAGCTCCAACTCGTCGGCCTCACGTCGTTCTTCATCGCGACCAAATTCGAAGAACCTATGCGCCTTCCGTAAGGAAATCGCCTACCTCGCGGACGACCAGTACACTGTCGATGAGATTCTAAGGCCGAGAGGTACATCCTGCGGACCCTTGAATGGGATCTGCGCGCCCCAGGCCCCATGGGATGGCTGCGCCGCGCCAGCAAGGCGGACGACTGCGAAGTCCATGCGCGGACGATCGCGAAGTATTTGCTCGAAATCGGGTGTGTCGACAGACGCTTCATTGGCATCGTCCCGTCGCTGCTCTCGGCTGCTGCTATCTGGCTCGCGAGGCTCAGCCTGGGCCGCGAGGAATGGGTAGGTGGTCTTCGAACCATGTATACCACGATGACTGACGTATAAAATTAAATGTTCTTCAGACTGCCAACCTCGAGCACTATACCACTTACCAGAAAAGGAGCTTATCCCAATCGCCACGAACATGCTGAATACATCACCACTGTCCCAGTCCAACACGAATCACTGTACAAGAAATACGCGCACAAGCGCTACTTCAGAGTAAGTTCGTCCCCATCTCCATATACAACCCTTTTCACACATTGTACGTCTACTCTTCCAGTGCAGCACCTACATGCAATCATGGAGTCTGGAGCGCTGGCCCGAGAATGGGGACGTGAACCTGAAGAAGGACTTGGCCGACATCAAAGACGAGATTCGGCGCCATCGCGAAGTCTCCGCTGCAGCCCACGCACGCGTCAATCGCAAGCAGGAAGGCACCGACAGGGAGGCTGAGTCGTGAAGCCTCGGCCGCACGCGCAAATATCTACATTAATCCGTACCATAAGTACATCCCAGCCGCCACGCACGCCAACGAACCGACAAAGCAGGGAAGAGAACACCCCACGCTCGTTTCATCTTTCCTTTCTTTCTTCCTTTCTGTTTTCTCTTCATTCACACACACACACATCATACCTGTTGCATATATCCATATTCGTATTCATATTGCGGAACTCGAGTGGCGGACGAGGCTTGGTTGCTAGTATTCAATTCCGGCAGACCTGTTTTGTGGCGGACGGTAGATCCGGTTTACGGCCTGTAGTGTTGTCTAATTAGCGCATTTCTTGTGTAAATATGTACGACAGTGTTATTTATTACTTACGGTGCTGCTTTTGAGCTGCATGTTTCTGCCTTGAGTGTATGAATAAGAAAATAGGTTCCATGGTCCAACAATAAATGCCCCCATTTGCTAACAGCCTTTATAGATTTTGGCAACAGATAAATGTATAATTTTGATTGAGTCTGAAAACCTTTCCGTCTGGGACATCCCTTCGCTTTCTTACGACATCATGGGCGAATTTCCAACCCTTGAACCTGATACTGTTACCCAGCCACGGATGCGGAGAACCTATCCTGTCGATTTCGAACCTTCTCACACCAATGGTTGCGCGGGGCTATGCGACTGGTACCCGTACACTGGAAGCTCGCAGCCGCTTTGGTTTGACTTCATTTCGGATGGCTGTGTCCCATATAAGTTCACGATCAACATCAACGACCTCGACCTACTTATGTACGATTCCTCTCAGTTCAGAATGTTCCTTCCGCATCCTTCAAGATACAACTGTGTTCATCAATCCCTACAGAGTCTGTAGTGATGATATTTTCATCTTGTCATGGGGCAACTTTGGGATTGAGATTTATGCAACAGGCTCTTCAACAGATTACACTCCCCACATGCTCATTTTATCCCCCAGGCTAGCTAGGAGCGAACCTCGCCAATCTCTTTTTGTCCGATATCTGGGAGGCTATGCTGTATCGGCAGCAGGAACATAACGATCACAGATTATTCGCCATCGCCGTTCAAGCCTGCCCATGACGCTGACACTCCGATACTGTGCCATTTGTTCGAGACCCATTGTATTGCTCGCACAAGGATGTGTTGAATTGCATAGATCGACAGGCGACCCCCCGAAAAGCATTTTTCGGTTTTTTTTTTTTTTTTTTGCGTGAAAGGTGTAGGTATATTATGCATCCTAGTCAAACGGCGCTCAGTGGTAGAGGGAGAATATAAAATTAGATACAACGTCTACGCAAGGATTTTACACGTACTACATAGTAGCTATCGACACATAGCGAGATCCGCCGGTCATAGTCTTCGTCGCTTACTGCTTTTCAACGACTCGAGAGTCTCGTCCTTCCTCTCCTCTACACGTTTAAGAAACTCGACCTTCTCTAGATATCCCCCGCCTTTGCGATTAGCGGCCAGTTCGTCTGTAATCGACGAGCCTGCTGCTTGTTCCGCTTGCAGGTGGGACTTCCAATCCATGGCAGATTTGTCTAGCGTCGTCAGTTTTTTGGGTTTGCTCGCACCAGGTAAGGGCGCAAGAGATATTTTAGATTTTCGAGGACCCGGTCGCTTGGCTGCTGGTTTGGGGACTGAGATGGGGTTGGTGGCGGTAGAATCGGATTGGGTAGGTTCGACAGAAACAGAAGAGGAGCCTTGTCGCGAACTGGAATCTTCGCTCACGATTGAGGCTATAGCTTCGCCTTCTGACACCTTTGCAGGTTCGCTTCCGGGATCTTTGAACAAAGGCCATTTCTTTGCTTCCAGGGAGTCTTCAGGAACTTCAACGATTTCTCTGGTTCGTGGGCCAAAAAAATTAGTGGAATAGAAAGAGCTAAGTGCGAATCGTCCTCACGATACTTCTTCTCCAGCAAACAGATATTTTCGCTCAACCTTGACCATCTTCGGTCGTAGGGATTGTTCATCTGTGCGTTCTGTTGTAGGCTTCGCCAGTGACTCTTGAAAACTTAACCATAAAGCATCGCGTGCGCTGCAGCTCAAGTCAAGATGGTTATAATAGAGTGGATGATTTCGATCGTAATTACTTGCCGTTTGCGTTCCTCTTCCGTTGGCACTAGTTTTACATTCGTTGGTTTGGCTTCACTCTCTTCGGCGTCAGATGCCTCAGATTCAGACTCTAATTGTTGACTCAGATTATCATTCTTGACCAGGATTACGGAGACTCACCTTCGCCTTCTGGAGGCACATAATCCGCATCATCTTCAGAATCTGAGAAATCATGCTTCAAGTGTGTCGAAGACATGGTTATAGCTAAGGATATTTCAACTGCCTGTGATGATATGTTCAAGTGAATATATGATTTTTGCGAAATTGATGTCTTGATAGGGAATGCAGGTTGACGCCGCTACTGAGGGAAGTGGATGGTTTGAGAACTGCCCCAGCTGATGTAATTCAAAAGCGCAAGCACAAAACTAATATAAATCACGTGGAAATAATACGGCAAGGACCGAGCGCCAGCGCTCACACTGAGTGCTGAGCGCTTAAGACAGCATGAGCGGTCAGGCCTCAGGAATAAAGGAAGCCGTATCGCGGGCAATATTTAAGGTTAATTCCATTAAAAACTTTGGGATCTTTGCTGGCATATTTCAAAGTAAACCATAAATATTCTAAATAAAAAGCCTACG